GTGCCTGCATTTTTGAGGTGGGCAAAGATGACGAGGGGTCCATCTATCTAACCTTCTGCCCTGTTCTCTCCTTCATTCAAGGTGCACTTAAGAGCACCTGACATATATGTGTAGAATGTGGGACGTAAGCTCTAAGAGAGCAGGGACTTGTGATATTGTATGTTTCCTACTGTGTCTAAAACACTGTCCCTAGCGTGTAGTCAGGGTGCCACCAATATCTGTGGGAGAAAGGAATGCATGCATCCTGGAAGGTGGACAATATAGAGCAATAGATAAGACCATGAGCCTGAGTTGGGATCCTGGCCGGGCAATCCTGGGTAAGTTGATTAACTTCTTTAGGTTTCAACTTCCTCATCTGTAACTTACAGGTTAGATTAGTAACTATGCTTCTGAGTCTCTGGAAGTAACTGGCACCTAGTTATCATGCAATGAACGGCAACATTGCTGCCACTACTACTTTTAGCTGCTTTATTTGTTGGGAAGAATTAGGGGATGACCATAATTTGAAGCTAGAGCTCTGATTTTAAAAAAATTAGGTTCCCAAGCAGAGTATTGGTAAAAAATCCTAGAATGAGTGTGCCAGGTTCAAGATTAGTTAAACCCTTAGGGAGAATTCCTTCCTTGTATTTTTATAACAACTACAAAATTTCTACCCAGTTACTCTGAACAAGCCCTTTTTGGGATACCAATTCCCTGGTAAAGCTGGGACTCCCTGGGCAGAATGACAAGGACGCTTTTTAACTCTGTGAATGGTGCCATTATTTCTCCCGTTTCCAGACTACTCTTACCCTGGAAGAAGGTAAAATTTTGAAGAAGGATGTGACTGTAGTTTCTAGCTAGCTTGTGCCTTTTCTGGATTTTCTTTGATTTTGTAAACTCTTGAATTCCAACGACAATCATTGTCTATAGCAGTTTTTCCCAGAAATCCTGGGAATACCTGAGTCATGAATAAGAAATCTTAACACAAAATTACGTAAGTAATTTAATTAATAGAAAATATTATGCTGCATCAAATGTGCATGTGGAAAACTTGGATGTGATCTGTAACAGCAAACCCAAATCTGACGGTGTGTTCCTTGCCTTGCATCTTGGCTCTCTTGACTCTGTACTTTGACTCTAATTCCTTCTCTACCAGCCCTGGAAACATCTTTGTTGAGGATCAGTAGCTCAGTCCTTCTCCACATCTCACTCTAATACCCTCAGATTGTACATGACTCACGGGGAAGCCAGGAAAACCACTTCCAACTCTCTTACACTGATTCTGGCCAAGCCTTCAGTTTCCTTGTGCTGGGATCCTTTTGCTTTCTTGCTTTAAAAATCGACAGACTGTAAAATAGCTCTTACCCATCTAAACAACTTTCCGTGCAAGTCATCAAAATTCAATCTGATGTTCCCAAATACGGGAGGAAACTTGATTCCTTTCAATGTTGGAAACCACTTTGGTGCCACCAGTTCTCTCCTCCCCCCCACCCCCCAGTCCCTCAGTGCATTTGGGAGCCTTCTCAAGATTTTGCTCCAATCCTGAGGGAGTCCAACCTGCCTGTGACATTTCCTTGATTTATGGTTGTGAGGTTTTTCAAATAATGTAAGTATTCAGGAGGAATATTTTAAATGAAAACTTGGGATTTTGTTTTAGATAGAGCCAAAGCCATGCATCTCTCATGGCTGCTCTTCTGTCTCATTTTGTACTTCTGGATACGAAGCCCTCCTGGATGTCCAGACAGTGTGGGAGTCTTGACATGATGAGGTGACTATGTTTCAATGGTTTTTCTGCAGTTGGCCAAGTGGTCACTGGTTGGTTTACACAGTGGAAGTTTTGCAAAAATTGCTTTGATGAGAGTAAAAGAAAACTCCTATTTTTTCTCCCCTGGGAGCTGTAGTAAAGATGAATCAATATATTTTTTTATTAATTAGCCCTGAAGAGAAAAATGGGAGAAAAGTAAGGAAGGTCGTTAGTGAGGGAATTTTCTGGAACTCTACTGAAGCAAGTGCTGATACTATTTCTTAAGGTCAAAGATTGGAAGATGGAAGTTAAACTTGGCTTGTTTCCCACATGTGCTGACAGTTGAAGCTCAGGGAAGTTTAATCCCTTTTATATACAGATTGAATTAAGTGGTCATGAATTTCTGCAGTACTAATTAGCTTTAAACCAATGAGAAATCACTTGATAGAGTAAGAATATAATGCCCAGAACAACCAGAGAACCTGAAAATTTTGTCATTCTGTGTTGTGGCTCTAAAGAGCACTACAATGTTAAGCAGAGAGAGATGGGAATTTTACCTGTTTCCTTTCTGCTGCTTAATTTGTTACTTCGTGTCCTCACAGTCAGAAATGCTAAATAACCTGCGAGGGAACTGGAATCTAAATCAGGCTTATATAACTGTCCCTGTAACTGCTAAACTTGTTTGGACATAGATGCAATCTAGCAGGAGGGATTCTTAAAAAATTACTTTTTACTGTATAAGAGATAAACTCATACACACGTCCAGACACCTATATTCCTAAGTTGATGATTAGATGAGTATTTAGGTATGCAGTTATTAGATTGTTGTGTATGAGCAAACAAGTGGGAGAAATTTAAGGCACTGACATAGTCTCAATGAAAGCATAACATCTGATGCAAGTTACCTCTTCAAAAACATCTGATGAAGAAACATACTCTTCTTAAGGTATTGGGGCACAGTTTTACCTGAGAACCTCAGGTAAATTCTGTATTTTAGTATGTATTCATATCTGTCTTAGAATTATAAGTGTAACGTCCTATAATAAACTTTATTTTTTATTGACGTATAGTCAATTTACGATTATATATAGCAGTTAGTATCTGCAAATCCTGAACTCCCAGTTTATTCCTTCGCCTCTCCCTTTCCCCACTGGTAACCATAAGTTTGTTTTCTATGTCTGTGAGTTTGTTTCTGTTTTGTAAACAAATTCATTTGTGTCATTTTTTTTTTTTTTTAGATTCCATATATAAGTGATAACATATGGTATTCTTCTTTCTCTTTCTGGCTTACTTCACTTAGTGTGACGATCTCCAGGTCCATCCATGTTGCAGCAAATGGCATTATTTATATAACCTTTTAAGAGGAACAAAAACATAATGATAGGTTTTCTTCCCCAAATCTCTGTGAAAGATGGGTTTTCCGGAAAGATGTGTTCAGTTTTTAATCCTACACTTTGGTGTACCACTGGGCACACTGGAGTGTTGTTCTAATTCAGTGGATTGTAGCTCTGGCTGAATGGTAGAAATGTTAGGGTTCCTTTTTGAAAATACCATTTGTAGGCTTTACTGAAGTCCCATTAAATCTGAATCTCTGGGAAAGATGTTTCTAATCTCCCCAGATGAATACAGTGTATGTCCAGAGGGGAGAACCACTGCTGGACCTGGAGATGTGGCCAGTTTGAGAAACATGGATGAGATCACATTAGACGCCATCTATCATTATACCTGTCTTCACATCACACCTCTCTTTGAAATTTTCCCTCATCCCTGGGCCTTAGAACAGCTGTAAATACATTGGTGAATTGATCGCAGGAAAGTGGAAACCTGACCCTCATGGAAACCCAGAACTCGTGTGTGGCCCCGGAGATCCTGAAGATCAGCATACTAGCTACAGCAGAGAAATAACTACTGCTTAGCACTTGGGCATTGATTTTTTTTTTCAGAATAAATTCTTATATCTAAAGAAAATTTTAATTTGACAAAAATCGAAATTGATGATTTTCTGGGAGTATTTAATAATTATAATTTTATCAGTCTGACTTTTAAAACCCCACCAAATTCTCCCATAATATTTTCAGTATTTGCTGAAGGATAACATCCCCCCTTGCCTTAATCATGTGCCAGATTACTCGTAAACCTGGACCATATGCCACTGCAATTTGCTGATGGGCCCAAGCTGTTTTGGTAGATAAAAAATCCAAGGGGATTAGAATGGCTCAATCCTCGCTGCGAACAGAGCAACGGCAGTAGGGCAGCTCCACGCTCTCCTCTCTCTCCTTCTCCGGACATTACCTACGGTCTCTTCAACCCAAAACCCAGAGATCATATCAATGCCTGCAAAAATGTATTTCACCCTAATAAGGTCTTTCTTTAGACACTTAGACTGAAACCAAGCTTCAGAGACACACAGATCATGCAAAGGGTGGAACAGAGATCATTATGTGTGAAAGTAGGAAATATTTCCCCAATTGTGTCTTTAGGATGGTCCTGGGGGAGATAACACTCTTAAGTTGATGAGGGACATAAATGACATCTTTCTCCTTTACTTGGCTCCCGAGTTCTGTCCAGCACAGTGAATTCTCTGTCATCAATGTTTGAATGACTACAAGTTCTTCTGTTTATAATAAAATGAACTTCTATGACTCTTGACTTAAAATCAGAATCAGATGGTTGATTAAATTATTAAAAGTTAAAATGACCTTTGGCAAAATATAATTTTCTGGAGGACACTTTCTCCCACTCCAGTTTTTCCTTTCTATTGCAAGTGAAACTTTCCCCAAATGAGGAGGTCATTGTGATTTATTTTTGTGTGTCTTCAGATCCATTTTCTTGATAGCAGCCACTTGTTTTAAACATCTGACATGGTGTCTTTAAAGATAAAGAGATAAAACATTGATTTGAAGCATACTAGTTATTTATATGGCTGACAATGCTTTATACAAATATAAATGGTAAGAAAATGCTTATTATTCAGATTTCTATGTTACTGTTAAATAATGTGCATACTGAACAGTTCTGTGTGGATTTTGGAGGGTTGAAAACTTGAAGTTTAGAGTTGGAAGCAGTAGAACTCATCCAATGCAGGAATCACCTGCATCTTCCTTTGCTCAATTCAAGAATCTTCTCCAAATGTTCCTGGAAAATCTTATTTGAACACTTCTAATGATGAGGAATGCTAGAGAGCCATTCTTTCTATTGAATTTGAATCTTACACCCTGTAACTATTATTTATAGTTCTACCTTTGAGAGCTCAGTAGAATACTTTAATTTTGTTTTTCTCTATGATCACCCGTCCGATACTTGTCTGAGAGACACAATCCTACCCTTAGGAATGTGACAGTAATAATGGGAACCTTTACAAAAGAATTTGCCTTTCACTGGAGATCCCACTTCTTACATACAGGGACCAGTGTTCCAAAAGCATTATTCAATATTACAACCAGCCAACCAATATGTGTGCTCAGAATGAATCACACCCATCTTAACTGTCTCTTTTTGGCAGTCAGAAAGGGATCATGCTCTCCTCGAACTCCTCCTTGCTCTTTTTTGACGAACATTAAAGCACAGCTTATTTAGAAGATCTGGTATCATATTACAACAAGCAACTTAGGTAGCTTTCTTATTCCTTGTGGTGGTGAGTTCTTTCTTAATGACATATCAATTAATTAATTCACTAACTTCTTCCATTGTCTCTTAGTCAGGTTTCTTTCAGTTGACAACGACACAAACATAAATCCAGCTCTCGTTAGGAACAAAGGGATTGTTACTATTTTTGTTATAACTGCACAAGCAAAATTCAGGTGTAAGATTCAGAATTCCGGCAATGTAACCAAGCCTCCCTTTCTCTTGATCTCTTGCCACGTGGGGAAGAATGCACTGTGTTGTTTATTTTCACACTACTGCCACACTTAGAATGCTTCTGGCACCAGATGTGTGGGTTTGTTTCCACAATGACCAGTTCTCCAGCACCTGCTGGGTGTTCTAGCATCAGTTCAGTTCTGACGCTATCTACCAGGAGTTAGTTACCACAACCCACAAGTTAAGGGCTCAGGCTCACAAGACTGCCTCCCCTTCAGGTGCCAATTGCAAGCCCCAGGTTGTCACCTGTACTTCTGACTGACTAGCTCTCAGTGTTTCCAGGACCGTTTCCTTGGGTTTGATAATTTGCTAGAACAACTCACAGAATTCAAGGAATCATCTACTTACAGTTACCAACTTATTATGTAATAAAGGATACGATCAAAGGGATAAAGATGAACAGCCAGATGAAGAGATACAAAGGGTGATGGCCAGAAGGGACCTCAGCACAGAAACTCCTATCCCCATGGAGTCGGGATGCACTGCCCTCCTGGAACATAGATGTGTTTCCCAAAATTCTTTAGAAAATTTTACAGCAGCTTTAATCATGTAGACATGATTGATTATGAACTCATTTTTCAGGCTCTCTCCCTCTCTGGAGACTGGGGAGATGGGGCTGATAGTTCCAAATTTCTAATTATGGCTTGGTCTTTCTGGTGATTGCCAACCATCCAGAAGCCCACCAAGAATCACCTCATTAAAACAAGAGATGCTCTTAGCACTCAGGAAATTACAGGGCTTTTAGGAGTTCTGTGTGAGGAACCAAAGTCACAGATCAAATATTAGCAGGAACGAGAGGCAGAGACCAAAATGTACATCTTCACACGGAAAGTGTAAAGACAGCACCTCCTTCTGGAAGTCTCAGGGGAGGATTACAGTGGCCACTTAGACCTGTGTTTAATTAAAACCCTGCCCCTCGGTTGGCCGCTATGAAGATGAGTTAATAGATCACTTTAACAGAAAGACTGGGTGTTTCAGTCAGCTGTTTCTGCACCTGGGGTGTAGCCACAGTGAGTCCTCATGTGACATTTAAGAACTGGTTCTCAGGTCACTATAGCCTTGTGGGTCTTGTGAACAGAAGCCCTGTTGACATTCAAAGCTAGACGCTTTGGGAGCCATCTCTCAGGTGCTGGTCTCGGAAGTTGAGCTGCCAGATTCAGGGTTCAAACCTTGGCTCCTCAGGAGAGGTTGTAAGTCACCTCTTGACTGTGAGTCGCTGTGCCAGGGGTAGGGTTCAGGATGAGATTGTGTCTTGGTCTCTCTCACCCATTTTCGTGTGTTTTTCTTCCTGTTCATCCAATGCGTGGGAGTTGCTTGGCTAGTTTCAAAGTTTCTTTCATATGTGGCTGAAGATTTGGTGTGTCCATGGGAGAAGGTGAGTTCAAAACCCCTCTACGTTGCCCTCTGGAACCTGAGTCTGTCTGCTTGCCACGCATCTGTGTGCAGCTTGGTCCCCAGCACGTCCAGCTTGGGCTGTAATCCAGTTCGTGCGGGACGGAGGGAGTTCAGTTTTCTCACTCTTCCCGAATGTCACCTGATCTTTCATGGTTGGTCAGGACAGAGTCACATGCCCCACTTTGTACCCAGGTTCCTGTAACTGGGTTCTTACCTGGCCTCTCCATCTCTCTTCTATACTCATATGGAAAGCAAGGTGATATGGTTTAATGTGAATGCCGTGACCTTAGGATCTGAATTTTCCCAGTGATTTTTGGTATTTTTAAAGCTGGAAAACATTTTTCAAAATTTATGCTTCTACTACCGAATTCTGCCCATAAAATGGTCTCAAAAAGTGAATACATATCTGAAACATCTTTTTTTGTTCTAAGATCAGTTCTAGCATTAAACCCACAAAAACTCTGTCATGTAGAGAAGACGTAAAGTGGATTTATTTACAGTGATTAGAAAATAAAACAACAGAATTTATGATGAGGGCCTTGAGTTATGAGAAATGTCTTTAAGCTATTAACTTAAAAAGATTTCAAAGTCCCTTTTTGTCAAATATCAAACTGTATAAAGAGGTATTTATTTGGTTTTGATAGTTAAATTACCACTTAAAAATTCTTAAAATCTTCAAACATCTTAAGTAGTTCTGATAAACAGAGTACGAGATGTGGGAAGTGTGGAATCAAAACTGTTTTCACTCATTAGGGACGACCTTACATAGTCTCACCAGTTATGAGTTATCAGGACATCTGTAACTTGTGAACATGATTTTCATATCATATTCCCAAATATTATGTATTTCCTCTTTATTTTTGAAAACATGTAAATATACAAATAACATATTGAGGGATGTATTTTTTCATATTTACTAAGTTATACCAAATCGTTAAAACAGGAGTTAACAAGTCCATTTGTTAAGATATGCCAACAAAAGCATAACAAAACATACTACCAGAAGTATGCACATCCTGGCTCCTTCACTGAAAAGGTCACCTTTCCAGAGCGTAACAAACTGGTGCATTGGGAAATAGAGAAACATCAATCAAGTCAAGTACATTTTTCACTTGTGTACTGAAGGCACAGTAAAGTGAGCATTAATTAAAAAAAAACTTTATAAAGTGAGAAATGGAGATTAAAAGATCAAAGGGCTGGATGAGAGAGTTAAGCAGATAAAGATATGGAAATCTGTTTCAAATCTGTTTCCACACAATCACTTAAAGAAGGAGATGGAATCACTTAAAGAAGACAGGTTGGAAAATCCAGGCTGACTTTTTGGTGGGATTATGCCAGTTGGCATCTGTACTGAGTGCATCAAATGCCCTGCCCCACATCTTCTTGGACCACTTTTTACTCCAGCCATTGTTGCAGCCTTAATATGACAGGACTTAGCCTCAGCTGCACAGCCATACTGGTGTCTCGGTGGAGGAGGGTGAGACAGAGGCGATGCCAGCTGGTGCTAAGTGCTATGGAGAAAAGTAGAACACAGGGGTAGAAACAGGTGCCAGCATGTGGAGATGGGGCAGTTGCAATTTTTCATAAGGCAGTCAGCAAAGACCTCACTGGGAAGATAGTGTTGCAACAAAGACCTGAGGGGAATGAGAGAGTGAGTCTCTCTGGGGAGGAGCCTTGTGGACACAGGAAACAGTGCAGAAACTCGAAGGCGGCAATACGCCTGGAAGGTTCCAGAGTAACTCAAGAAACCAGCATCCCTGGAAGAGAGCAAGCCAGAGAGGCAGGGAAGCAGGAGATGAGCTGATGGTGCCAGGAAGTGGAGAGCCTACAGGCCTCTCTAAAGATGCTGGCTTGGACTGTGATGAGATGGGAACTCAATGGAAAGTTTTGAGAGAAGAACTGACATGTTGTGGTGGGTGTTGAGACTGGGCTGGAGAGGGTGCGGCCAGGTGTGGAAGCAGAGACATCAGGTAGGAATCTACTGCGACAATTACATCTGAGAGATAATAGCAGCTTTGCAGAAGCTGGGAGCAACAGATGCAGGAGGAGGTGGGAAGTGAGATTCCAGGTGTACTTTGATGGTAGAACTGGTAGAATTTGCTCACAGGTAAGATGTGAGATATGAGGAGCAAGGATCATTTCAAGATTCTAACTGAGAAACAGGAGGAAGAATCACTATTAACTGAAACTGAGAAGACTTTGACTTGGTTGGTGGGTTTGGGAAAAGGATTAAATTCTAGATACAATAAGTTTGAGATACCTATTAGACATTGAAATGGAAATATAAATTAATCAGTAGGCTGTGTATATGTGTCTGGAATTCAGGAGAATGCCCGGGATGAGATGTAAATTTGGGAGTTATCATCCAGATGGCATTTTGCCACCAAACTGGATGAATCACAGAGATAGTGTGTATGGGGAGAAAAGAGAAGGGGTCTGTGGACTGAACTCTGGGTCACTCCAGTGTGTTGAGGTTGGGGAGCCCAGGAGAATCTTGCAAAGGACCAGAGAAGGAGTGGACATTGACGGTGAGGATAACAGACAACTTCTAAAGGGAAGACCAGAGTGGAGTTGTGGCTGGAGGGGACCTGCGAGGTTAAGAGAAGGGTTCTTCTGTTAATACTGGAGGAATAATAGCACACACACGGGCTGTTAGAAACTATTGGGTAGAGAGGGAAATTTGGTGATGCAAGAGAAAAGAAAGAATCGCCAGCGCTATGGCCTTGAGTAGGCAAGAGAGCGTGTGACTTCATGCACAAAGGACCTTTAGTAGGAGCACAGGTTGTGCAAAACGACAGGATGACAGGGAGCAAACAAGGAAGGATCTGTGGGCCCGGATGCCGAAAGGTGGTCAGAGGTGGTGATTCAAGCTTCCAGGCTTGTGAGGGTTGTGTTTTCACTGTTTCTATTTCCCCGTTCCATAGGAAGGAAGGTCAACAGCTGAAGTGAAGACAGGGAGGAGGCACTGGGTGAATGAGGACAGCGGGGTTTGAAACAGTCCTCTGGAAGCGTGGGAGAGTGAGTGGATCAGGGAAACCTGCATGGCCCCTGAGCTGCAGGGACCCATTTGAAAGCGGGGCATGTGCATTTAAAGTTGTTTGCTTTTTCTCCCAGCCATGTTCAGCTGAGTGGAGGAGCAGAATCATCGGAGAGCTGAATTTAGCCAGGATGGGGGTTTGGCCAGTCTAATATGATAAATGAAAGACATGCAGGGGACGGAGGGTGTACACAAGGGATACCAATGGTTTTATATTGTAGATTTGTTTTCGTTCGAATCAATTCCCTCATCTGACTTTAACTTTTCTACTGAAGTTACCACCTCTCATTCATCCAACTGTGGAACCCCAGAGCATGATCCTTGCTCCTCATGCATGGAAGGGAGGGAGCAGGGTAAGGGGGGAAAAGAGTCTAGTGTCAGAATATGGAGGCTCTAGAAATCTGAGCTAGAGAACACTGTTCTTAATAAATTCTCCATCCAGGAGAACCAGGAGGAAGCAGCATGGTCTTTCCTGACCTAACCTCAGAAATCTGAGTTGAACAATGACCTGTTTTTGTAAATAACTTGCACTGGGACACAGTTACATCCATGTTTTTACATGTTGTCTGTGGCTGTTTTTGCATTTTGACAGCAGAGTTGAATGGTTGGGCAGAAACTGTATACCCTGCAAAACCTAAAATTGTCTGGCCCTTTAGGGGGAAAAGTTTGCTAAACTCTAACCTAAAACTCAAAAGAGCATCCTAAGTGGGAGCTTTCAAACTGATCAGTCTTGGGCTTTGTTGCATAAATGAACCTTGTCATGCAAACCTCCAGTATTTATAGAGCAGTACCTACCAAGGGATCAGGTTCCTCAGGGAGATTATAGGGCCTTTCTTACCCCTCATTTCCTAACTCCAGAGACGGTCCCTAAGACGAGACACAACACATGAACTGCACCCAGATTTAAGCATTAATTTTGGGATGTTTGCCAGACCAGATGGTTAGAAAAGCTAAGTACTATTGATTTATTTCTTATCCTTTATGAGGCAACATTAGAGACAATGGACCTTATCAGAACAAATGAGAATAAACAACAGAATGCAGATCAGAGGAGAATTAAGAACAAATGCTACTGGATTTTATTAGGCTATAATTAATTTTGTATGTAGAAAAGCACTAATTATTAGTTAATTGTTGACCTCACCAACAGAGCTTTATCTCATGGCAGCTGGGCAAGGATGGACTTCTCTGTTTCATGAATGTCACTCTCTCCCGTATAGTACTGTGACCATAATCTCCAGTACCCTGGGAATGCTTTCCTGCAAATGCAATTAATCATCCATCAAATGCCTTTGAGCACTTAGTAGACATTAGAGGCTTGGGGAAACAGATTAACAAGACCTGATTCCCGCCAACAATGTTGCAGTCCAGTGGTGATTTGCACCCAGAACTGCAATGATTGTTCTTAACATGGTTTTGGATCACAGACCTTTATGAGATTGTGATCAAAACTACAAACCTTATTTTTAGAAAAACAGATGTGCAAAGGCACATCTAAACAGAATTTTACATGTAATTTCAAGAGACACTATATTTCCTGAAGGTCATTTATGAAAGTCTGTGTGGGAGCTTACTCCCTTTTTAAAATCCTTGTGGTACAGAGCACGGGCACAACTGAGAGAGAGAGAGCTGGTGTGTGTGCGCTCACACATACATGCAAGTGTCTTAGTTTCTTAAGGAACTTAAGATGGAAAAATATTTTCTAGCTGGGAGGAATGGCTTATGCAAAAGTAATGAGACATGTTAAATCGGGGGAATTCAGGAAGTCAAAGCAGTTTGGTTGGACACATTCCGAGGGCAGATGACTAACGCCTTGGGAGAAGAGGCTGAAAAAAGACTGAAGACTGAGTCACACCTAGTATATTGTATGAGTAGATCTGTCACTCTTCCTTGAAGGACTGCATGTCCCTAAGGGGGGCACACACTATGGGACATGCAGCTTATCGCAGGACACATATTTGTTTGCCTCTACCTGGTTGTTTATTGCTGATTTTCTCTTTTCTTGATTTTTTCCTTTATTTTTTTTTAAATTTAGGCATATGCTAGTGAACAAGGATCTTTATATATACTATATCATAGGATCTAATTAAATGTTGTAGCAATCACACTAGCTTTTATTATTTACTATTTATTTATTATTTTATTTTATTATTTATTATTATTTATTTAGCTTTTATTTTACCTATTTTACCCACAAGAAAACAGATCCAGAGAGGTAACTTACGTGGTCAAGCCCACAGAGCTAAACACAGCAGAGCTGGTAACTGGACACCCTTTTTCCTAATTTCAGGTTTTATACTTTTTCCTTTGGGCTTAAGACACTGAGCCAAGTAAGTTTTGTTGTGAAGGATAATTGATCATTTCTGGCTAATGTAGAATACCCGCTTGTAAGTCAGGTTATTAAATATGACCATACTTTTTGTTTAGTATTTTATGTAGTAATTTTATTTAGGCCAAGAATGTTGGAGTGAATAGGTCTTATTTCTATTTTTCAGTTGATGTTTCACTCTTACCTACTGTGACTTTGGTCTTTATTTTGTTAAAGAGAAAGTTGCAGGAAGGCTTACAGCTGGGGTTGAACTGACCAAGCTAGACAGACTAGGAAAGGCCTGAAAGGGCTAAGATCTGGGTTAGAAAGCCCTGGGAATTCCTCCAAAACACAAACTCCAAGCAACAGACAAAATGGCTGCACATCATAAGGAGAATTACATGTTAAGAAGTTTTTTAGAAAGTGTTTTCAGCCTTCTTCAGGGGTGGCGAAAATACCTAATTACAAAACCACAAAGCAGAGAGAGAAATGTTGGCTGAAGGAGGGGAGAAACTCTGTGTATTCACAAGTAGAGTCCAGTGTCAAATGTGGCTTGACTTCCATTAGCTTTGTTTTTTGACATAATAGATTTTTCTAGAAAGCCTTCCCCAAAATTAAACCCAATTAACACACAAATTCCTATTGAGATTTAGAAGCCAATCAAAGACAAATTCTGAGATGACACGCTGAGAAGGAAGGGACAGTGCCCAAGTCGATCCTGGTCGTAGTAAGATTCAGGGAGACCAAACTTGGGCGTGGCACTCGGACATCAGACAAGCGCAGTTTTAGGATACTCAATATCCAACAGAAAAAGAAAAGATGATAGTGGTTGAAGATGTCAAAGCGAGGAGGCTTCAGTAGATTAACCTGGCATGTTTCGTAGTTGTGCTGAGAGTCGGCTCTGAATACAATACAATAAGATCCATCACTTGGTGAAATAATGTGTAATGAGACATTGAATCACAGCCACAAGAAAGGGAAAAAACAGTGTCAAAGGCCCCTCCCAGTGTTGCATAAATGACAGGGAAACATATTTGGAACAGGATACGTTGAGCACTGTTTGTCTGTGTGTCCCCACCAGAAGAACAACCTCTAAACCCGTTGACCCAGTCAAGTCATTTTCTGTGGAAGTTTCTGTGACCTTTCCCACAGGCTTTCCCCTCCGCTGGATCCCAAGCTCGGTGCCACTTCACAGCTTGCATCATCTCCTCGGAACCCGGCCAAGGGGAGAGAGAACAGCTGGGAAGGGATGATTGTAAAAAGCCCCCAGGATTCTACAGAGGGTCCAGAAACCCCCTTCACCAAGTAAACTTAAGGAGCCCGAGGGCACTTTCGCCAAGCACAGCAGTAGTGTGAGGAGAGAGACACAAAATGCGAGCTGATTGGTGTGACCACGGTGCAGGGCAGACTTTTGTAACCAGGCTGAAAGTCCTGTCTATTTCGTAGCATTTGTTAATATGACCACAGACACGTTGACTAAATCCTAGGAACAGCTGCTCTTGATTCAACAACAAGGCATTAAGTCCCACAGCAAATACATGAAGTCCCGCTCTATTTTCATAACTGAAATACATATTTTAAAGACCCTTTCAGTTATTCAGTGTCACTGCACACATTATGACTCATTTTAAAAAGACTCTCAGTTTCCACAATGACTCTTAGTAGACTGTCCACAGATCATAACATGAACTGAAGTTATTTCAAGAGAATATAGTTCTTATTTAATCTTATCTCATTCCTCTAAATTGAAAGCCACTGTTCCTAAAGCACCTCTTGGAGAGATATGAAGCAATTTCCCCCCTTTATTTTGGTTATGTGAATACATTCCATTGCTGTTTTATGATTTACGAGCTAGGTATTATGTGGAACTTTTTATTCATTCTGAGCCTATGTAACTGCAGCTACAAAATGGCGATATCATCAGAATCTACCTGCTACAGTTGTTTGAGAATTAAATAGAATAATATATGTAGTGCTTAGCAAAATGCTGGGACATAGAAAGTGCTCAGTAAGTGTTAGCAGTAATAATCTTTATCATCACCATCATTATTCACTTAAACTCAGGTTAGCCAAAAATATACTCATTTTTAAATAAGTTTTATGTTTGAAGATAGCTTATAACTTCTGATTATTAACTTTATATAATTATCACTACTGTCTAACTTGAAAATGTACAAAAATTTCAACGTCCTCCAAATTTGCTTGGTAAGGGAGTCACATATACAGAAGGGGAATTTTTTTAATTATTTCAAATTTTTAAAAATAGCTCAGTTTAATTTTCAGGCACAATAATGTTTAATTTATGAAAAATCGAAAAAATCTCAATGATTAAAATTTATTGATAATCATTTTGCATGAAGCATTTAATCTAATCTTTACTATGCCAAAATAGAGTCATCGATGTTTTTAATTTTTGCTTATTCAAAAAAAAAAACATAGAACATTTGTATACCAATGTGGAATGCTTAAGAAATGTGCCACTCCGAGCAAATTGGAAACAATGATTGGGAACCTCAAATTCATCTTGTTTGCTACATTTTAGGGCAGCAGATTCTCCAGCTTTATTGAGAAATGTTCAGAGAGGGAATGGAAAGTGTTTTGAAATCAGAAGAAGACGTGCGTCAGTGCTTATCTGCCACGGCATGGAGACCTCCCTCGGTTTAAAGGCCAGCCAAGCGTTGTCTTTGGAGCTTAACTATGTAACCCAATGACATAAACGGGAGTGCCAGGCTGAAATCCTTCCAGACTTGGATACATCATGTGCTGAATTTTTTAGACCTAGATATAAAAATAGTTTCCAGGCTTAGAATCAGACGTAATAAGGATGAAATACCTCCATAAATTAAGTTTTCTAAAAGCTTCAAACGTAATTGAATTCGGGTAAGTCCTGCTATAATAAACAAGTCAATTTTCCCAGGGTCCTGTGTAGAAATATGTTTCAAAGTGGTTCACACTTTCAGAAGTTCTTCCATGGCCTTTGCTTCCCTAAGGGTATTTTGTCTGAGATATTCTCTGAAGGCAGATTCTAAGACAAAGGTTTTTGTAATCATTAGTTGATTCATGGATTGCTGTAAAACAAGAAGCAAGTGATTCCAGGAGCAAGAAGAAGCGGTCGAGGGTTAGAACAGGAAGGAGAAGCAACCCAAGGGACGGCGTCGGCCACACTCAGTTCTGTGGTTCCTTCTAAAGAGACATCTGGTCTGTGTTTCAGATAAGACCAATAAGGTATCAAAAGAGGGGACACCTATTCCTTCACTTCTGCCTCGTCAAGAGAGGCCTCACCGATCCTCCCCTGCACTTTGGAATGGTGCATTCATATTTAGACTGCTGGTGCAGGTGCATCAAAGCCAAAACCAAATATACAGGAAAAAAAAATAACAGTAGGAACTGAAAGATAGTAACACAGGCCTGAGTTGAGCACTGTCAGGTTGCACCTGTGGGAAGCTGGCTGACACCGTCAGAGAACCATTCAGCACAGCAGTTCTGGGGTGGGACGTGGAGAGAACGTGAAGTAGAGCTCAGTGTCTGCTGCCATTCATTCCTGTCACCATTCGGTCTCTTTCATTCCCTTCCCAGTGTCCCTTTCAAGGTAGTAGCCAAACTTGCAAGGACTTAATAAAAGTGGGTGAGTTCAATGAACTGCAGTCTTCACTGCTGTAGCTAGTCCTAAAGCCATCATCAGTATCTTCTCTCCCCCAAGACCCATTTTGAATTTCCCTTATACGTGGCTAGTAATGGTTGTGTGCCTGGTGGAGTGACCCTAGACTTTATCCTCAGGGTTCAGAATAAAACCCGCATTGTGGAAGACTACGTGCCAACCTTACAGGGTGCTGTACCTGAGCTGGTGCCTTTGCCAAGCCTTTCTCCTATCCTGTTCTACAGCCAGCCACTCTGCTCAGGCGAACTACTTCTGGGTGATGAGGTGTGTAATAAGTGTAATGGACTCCGTGGATACGCATCCATTCTTCTATTTCTTTTGCTGTAAAATTAGTCTGTTCTTGTCAAGATGAAGCAGACAGAAGAAAGTATACAATAAATACACGTGCTGCTTTATGTTTAACCTAAATAATGGTTTTGTGGTGGATGCAACCCACAAGGGTAACAAAATTCCTTTTGCAAATCATTCAGTAAAACCAAACTGCTCTGCAAATGTTTTGATGGTTAATGGTGATCACAAGATAGGGATTTTTGGTAAGAGAGCCATCCAGACCTGTGAGGAGCTGTTTTTTGATTACGGAAAGAGCCAGGCTGATGCCCTGAAGTATGCGGGCACTGGATGACAAGTGAAAGTCCCTTGACGTTTGCTACCTTCTCCTCCCTTTCCTTCTCCCTGGCACAGCTGCTTTAGCTTTAGGAACCGCAAGGACTGTGGGCAATTTAGAAAAAGTAAATGCAGTTTGCAAATTCTGAATTTGCAAAGTCCTGTAAGAATAATTTAGAGTAATGAATTTAAAAATCAAATTTGTATCGCCTTCTCACCAGCTGCAAAGTGTTTTGTACCAGAAAAAAATTTGCAATAATGCAGTATGGTACATTTTTCAACTCTGAATAAAGACTACTTGAATTTTAAGAGAGAGCAAGAACAAGAGTGAGAATGAGAGAGAGAGAGAGAGAAAGTGAGCACAAGGTGTGCGTACAGGCCCTGGGGCAGGCACGGCACAGCACGTCTAGGAAGTGGGTCTGCGCAGCTGCTGGAGCTCAGACGGTGAGCACTGTAAATATTCACCAAGAATCTGAGGCAACAGCTGGGCGATGAGGGCCATGCAGTAGCTGGAATAAAATAACACCCTGTGTTTAAGGACACTAGCTTCAGGAGGCTGAAAGCAAATAGCTCCTCCTCTCTGTCCTGATCCTCCTGTGGTTTGTTGTAAGGGTGTCCTGGATTTTGAGCAGTTCTCCCTGGTAAAAGCAGACTCCCTGGACACCACAGATAGCACTTTTTATGATCAATTTCTTATAGGGTGTGTCTCCATCCCCTGGCAGAATGAGATGATCAAAGCTGAAAGTTTCAATGACATCACTGAAACTGAAAATGAGGGAAATATGACATTAGAGCTAGAAGAGAAAATATGTCACTAAGTTCCCAAACCACAGAGAGGCTTCTTCTGCAGACTTCTCAGAAGATGGGGCTGCCTCAACACTGGGCCCATGAGAAGGAAGAGCTGTCCATAGCTCGTGCCCACTCACTAGAGCTCAATGCCACAGAGCACGTGCTTCATCCTACCTGAATTGCAACAGACAGATATGACATCTTAACATGTAAAAAACAATCTGTTAGCATAAGTCAATGTTGGATGTGATACCATGTGAATAGATCAAGCATTAGGTAAATACTCTTATTGTAGTGATGGAGGAGGTTCTGTAAGGCTAAAAGGAAAGCCCAGGTGTCAATTCCAGTAAAGATGGCACAAGGTGGAAGAGCTCCAGTGTAACGACATTGGAATCAGACAGTTGGCTCTTCTCTTCAGGGATGACGCCACATTGCTGCGTGTGTGAGGGCACTCTAGAGCGGCAAGAATAGCGAGCTCATTCTTGATGTGAGGTAGTCCATTTAGTGCCTCTACCCCTGACACATCATTCATAACTCACTGTGTCAGCACCACTGGGCTGAGTAAATACGGTGGTTGACACTTGCAAGATGGATCATCTTGTCCAGTTGGTTGCTGAGTGCCTCTTTTGTAGTGAATACATCTCAGTGGGCATTCATATGAGACACAAATATTTGCATATTCTGTGGCCACTTCCAGTGTTCCACCTACTGGCCTCTTCTCCAGACTTCTTTGCCTCTGATCATTGGTTGTTGCTCCTTCATGCACAGGGGTCAATGTATAGTCATAACTCAAACCACTGTCCTCTCTGCCTGGTAAACTGTAGGCTGTACTGCTCATAATTTTGAACACTGAGAGAACTTCCTTCACCCCAATCTGGGGCCATCTTCGAGGAAGGCTGGAGCATGGTGGTAGCAGTACTTTTCTGGCTGGTCCTAAGGTTTTACATATTCCCGTCTGTGGACCAGATCTGAGTTTTTCCTCCTCTGTCAGTTGATCATAATTGTTTCAGATTGGGTTTCCCAGGAAGCAGGGTCTGTTCAAAGGATTTAACATGCAAGAGGTGTATTAGAGTGTGCTCTTGAGAACGTATCTGTGGAAGGAAAAAGAGTGAGGCAGGACTGGGCAGAGACGCGAGCTGTGAGGCAGTATCCGTGGAGCACCTCTGCTTGCCCTGCAGACAAGACTGAAGACCAGAAGACTCCTGAGAGCTGTCCTGAGCTCGGGCGAGAGAATCAGATCTTTGTATGCCTTTTTCAGTGATCACCGAATGAAGGCTACTCAAGATGGGGGGTGATCTCAGGAAAGGAGGCTCTTTTCAATTAAGGCAACCTCCAAAGGGCTGACAGCGAGGGCTATTACAGTGTGTGGGATGATGAGTCTTTTATTCCTGAAGGGAAATCTGGGAAGGAATGTCAGCATATACCAGAGCAGTCAACCTCTAGAAGGTACGATTTGAAGGAAAGGCATTGGTACAGCAGAGACGGTTTTCATGGGAGTCTGCTTATGTGGTTTGCTTGTTCTTTCTGAACCTGAATAAAACATTGTCCCCACTGATACTTGGGGTTGCTGCTGTGCACTGGACCTTAGGGCTTGGCTGATCAATAATACCTGGCTCCTGTGAGCCGTTCTGCCCGCAAAGTCATTTGGTATCCCAGGTAAGGTTCCAGATCTGCATTCTCATATTTTCAATTCATAGGAGATAAGCAAGCTAAATGTCTATCTAGAAATCTATCACATTGGTGAAGACCTTGCCCTCAGGAAACATCCACTCTGTTATCAATAGCCATGGTTTACTGATAACAATAGCAACTCCATGGAGAATTAGCGTATTGAAACACTAGGGTACAAATCAAAGTTGAAAGTTAACATATGAAGTTGCTCTTTTAAACAGAGATATTTCATGGCGGGAACACTATGAAACAGCTGAGCAAAAAGAACATCCATGATATGTGATAGGAATCCTTACAAAGTATCTTCAATTCGCTCTTTTGGAGTCTAATATATGAATATAGTCATAATTGAAATTTCTTTGTTTATAATGTTTTCTTCTCAGAATATAGTTTTATAGAACCCTTGGGTTACTACCACTCTTAGCATCTTAACATCTACAGATCTTAACATCTTCTGGTTAGTGCCTTTGTCTATAATTAAGCAACTATATTTAAAAAGATTAATCCTCTAGAATATACACCAATCTTTTAATAATTTATTTTGATACTTGACACCTGTAAGTGAATTGACCAATGGATGTAGCTATTGGGGGAATTTATATATAAATTATATATAAATATGTATAATAAGTGTGTGTGTGTGTGTGTGTGTGTGTATATATATATATATATATTTGTCCAATATAATACTTTTAGAATATAAAAATGAAAACTTGAGAGAAAATTAACCTAAATTACAAGGACTATGCCTATCTCAAATCTGCAGGATTATGTGGTGTTTTGAAGAGAAACTGAATTCTCCCCATCAAGATCTGAGGTCTAAAGCTTCTTCCTTTTGAACCTGGACCAGCTTTAGTGACTCTTAATATTAACCGAATGTAGTAGATGGGAGCTGTATAACTCCAAGGCTGGATCAGAAGAGACCACGAAGCTTCCACCTGGCTGTCTTGGAAAGCTCACTCTGACGGAAGTCAGAAACCATGCAATAAGTCTGATTATCCTGCAACCAGTATGCTGGAGAAGATAAAAGCAGACGCCCTAGCCAACAGCCCAGCTAAGCCATCAGCCTGTAATCGACTCCAAGGGTCAGCACTTGAGAGCCGTCTTCGACAGCCAGCCCATTCAGACTTTCCTATGACTGTATCCCAGCCAATGTCTGAGTGCACCCATATCAGAGCCAAGCATTCCTCAAATTTCTAATCTATAAAATGAGAAGCAAAGTGAAATGTTTGTTTCTAGAATTTTGGGGTTAATTGTTAGACAGTCATAATAACCGATTAGTGTGTGCCAAGTTCTCTGCTCTGTGCATTATTTCAATTGACTCCTTTAATACTGACACTGATGCAAAGTTAAGTGTCATTTCATTTTAGAGATGAGGGGTTGGAAGTGGCCATTGAGAAGACGTGATTGCTGGTTGACCCACAAGTTGCACCTGGGCAATCGGGGGCTCCTCACCCCCTCCCCTATCCTCAGAATGTGTGTTCTGCCCATCATTCCCATGGTGGAAGCCGTTTTCAAGGATGGACCCTTGAGAGAGTGATGTGTTGTTAAGACCATCTGGACAGGGTATGTGACTGAAGCCCTTTTAGGCCTCTATATAAATTTTCAAGATTCTGGCAGGTGGGTGTGGAAACTGACTCTTCTTATGGCTGCCAGGGATGAGTTTTGCACATAAGTCCCCTTGCTTATTAAACCTACCAATCCAGAGTGCTCTGCCTCTTCCTTGGGTCTCTCTCTGTCTTCCACAGATGGGGGCCAGTTTCAAATTTCACCGGGGGAAATCCAGTGGTTACAAGCCAAGATGACGAAAGTGAGCTTCAAAGAGGTTAACCTTCTCTTCATGGCATGCAGCTAAGAAGAGGCAGAGCTGAAACTCAAACCCAAGTCTGCCTGACTAACTGTAACCTGAACAATAAGATCTAAAGAATCTTATATTTGTAGAGTAAAGACTACTCTTTAAGCAAAAAAAAAAAAAAAAGAAAAAGAAAGAAAGAAAAAAGCAACATATCTGATACTAATTGAATTAGAAATACCCATATTTAGATAAAATAATTAAAACATTTTCTTGAGTTCAGCATGTGTAGCCTGGAAATGAAAAATTTGGATGAGAGGGCCCTAGTGAAAAACAAATTTAACTATTACCATATGAACATTGTTGCCTGGATAGTGATGGTGCCAAATGGCTGAGCAAAAGGTATTGGAAATAATCTGTAACAACTTTTGTAAAGATGTTCTGGCATAAAAATGAAGAGCAATTTTATTTTGAGATAATGAAAAGCATGAGTGAAAATATAATTAGTATCTGTAAAAAGTGAATCATTATAGTGCTTTGCTTTGAATGACCTTTGATGAAATTCAAGTTCTTCAATAAGCCATTATGCATTTAACCTAACATAAAAGAAGGAGAAATCAGGTTTCTTTTCTTTTCTTTTTTTGATTTTCATCCCCTTTATACATCTATCAAAACAAAAATATCAGACTTAAACTACTGTCTCATATGCCAAGACTGATTGAGGAACTATAATTATTCTTGTTCACACACTAAACATATTTTTTATTTGTTCTGATTATGTAAGTGGTTTGTAATTTATTTATCCCAAATAAAAACTATTTTCCATTTCTATTCTGCTTCACTTACACAGTTTTTACATATTAACTCTCAATCCAGGCAAAGAAACGCTTCATCAGTGACGACCCCTTCACCTCCCTCACTCTCCTTCAGAGGTGTCTTCCTTTATTCTGCATTATGTTTGACTTTCGGGGAATAGGTTGGATGTTTAAAATCCTATATTTATTAGGATTTGGCTTGTCTGATCCATGCTTTTTGATTATTCATATGTGTAAGCATCATCTGGGGAATGCATGATAAGAACAGTCGATTCCTGGACCACATTGCCAGAGATCCTGATCTGAAGGGTGCAGAGCTGGGCTGAGGGATCTACAATTGTAAGGAGGAGTCTAAGACTCTGTTTGCAGGCGGAACTTTCTGCATAGATTCTTGTCTTCAGACTATTTACCTCCAGTGTTTCTACATAGAATTTTTACTCATAATCTGCAAAATTGTCGTATCTTATCTTAAAATGATCATCAACTGAAATAAAAATGGAAAGGACAAAGCCAGGAAAATTCCTCTTCCCACAATTCATCTTTGTATTAATTCAGCAACAAACCTTACTAAGTAATCTCTATTACCAGACAATCCCTCGGTATTCAGAATATAAAATAACACAAGACAACTGCTCACTAAGATGCCTATTATAATAGGTTTCTGTACTTCAAAATCTGTATTTCCCGGAAGTAATCATTTCTCTCCTATATCCCTTCTTTGCTGTTAAATTAGTGTGTAATACATTAAGAGAGGGTGCTTTTAAGTTTTCATTTGCAAAGATGCTATTCAAATCTTCTGTCACCAACGAATTGTGATGTGGAATAAGAATAAATTTTTTATTCATAAAATAAGGATAATAATATTCAATTCACAGAATTTTTTTTAAGCATTTCAAAATTTTCAAAAATAAATAAGATAATGTGGGGGCTCTGCCTCCAGTATAACAGTGCAAGGAATTCTATGGACTTGCTTCCAGCAAAACTGATAAAAAATATTTTTATAAAAAGCAACTATTTAAAGTCTCTGAAAATGGATCTAAGAGCATACAGCATTTCATACAGCAAATGAAAAAATATTCATTCAGGAAAATCTACTACAACTTGGCAAGAACAGCAAGAGTCGATGGTATTTGAACCAAGACCCAACTCTCTCCTTTGCTCTCCCATCTCAGCAAGACAGAAACTCCACTCCAGAGTTGTGTAACCAAGGATGCAGGACTCACTCTCATTTCCAGCTCCAAGTCAGAGGGCTATTTTCCTAGGAGGGGCAGCACAACAGCATTTCTCATCCTGCTCCCGACTATCTGTTGCTGAACCTAAGTTCTGAGCAAGTATGACTGACAGGCAGGGGCTCCTGTCTCCCACTCAGCCCCGATTCGCGGGCAGAGGTTATCTTGGGTGGAGCCTCACTGAGAATGCTGAAGCCTGTCCTTTGCCTTGCTTGTCAGGTGGGTGGAGGTTCCATGTTGAGAGAGGCAAGCAGACAAAGCCCGAGGCTATGGTTTGCCCCCTTCCACTCAGCACTCAGCACCAAGGCAAGTGTGGCTTTCCGTTGACCCCACGCCTAGCTCCGGAGCTATGGCTAATATGTTTTGCCTGGAAGGAGAATCAGGTTGCATATTAGAAAGCTCTGACTCCTTTCCCAGAAGAACTGATTTCATTTGCAATAGGGTGTGGAGAAATTTAAGCTTCAAGGTGTCCTCAAAACCAGCAGGGATTGTGGCAACAAACATTTGATAGGAGGTTGGTAGATTCACTGGGGATATAGGCAAAAGTGTTGGCTAGCTGTTTGCCAGAGATGTGGGGAAAGAGGCAGGGGGAGGAACACTTCCTGGGCCAGAACAAATCTCAGACAGGAGCTAACCCTTCAAAGCAGCCTAATTTCACTGGATGTAATTCCATGGGATCTAATCTCATTGGATAGGTCGGCTGAACAATTCATACCCTAGGATATTGTTGAAAACAACACAGCAAGTAGCTGGCAATCACAGTAGTGCAACTAGCTAGGTGCAGGCAGGGGAAAAGACAAAGGAAGTCCTGCCAAACACTGTCGTTTGAGGTTGATGTAGGCTATCCAAGGCTGTGTGCCTCAGCAAACCGCATGAGAGGCTTCACAGAGTGGTAGGTCGGGGTGGGGTGGGTGATCTACTTCACAAAAATGGTCCAGTCCATAACAGTAACAGACCCTGGCAGGGAGAGGCCAGCACCAAAATTGCCACAATATGTTATCTCTAATGTCACTTCCAACAAAAATAATTATGAGACATGCAAAGAAACGAGAACATATGACCCACACACTGGGAAAAAAGCAGTCTGTGAGTGACTCGATGTCAGGGTTAATAGATGAAGACTTCAAAGTGGCATTATAAATATATTTAAGAAACTAAAATGAGACTATGATGAAAGACGTACAGAAAGGTAATAATAGCAGTGTTGCAACAAATAGAGTATCAATAAGGAGATACACGTTATAAAAGTAAGAACTAAATGGAAATAAGAACTACAGTTGAAATTTTCAGTAACTTAAATGAAAAATTCTTTGGCAGAACTCAAGAGTAGCTTGGAACAAGTCAAAGTAGTAATTAGCAAAGTGAAAATAGACTGATAGAGATAATGCAATCTGAAGGACAGAGAGAAGAAAAGAATTAAAATATATATATATTTAGAGAAATATGAGACAGTACTGAGCACACCAACATACACACAATGTGAAGAGAGAGAAAAGAGAAAAAAAGAAATAGTTGAAAACCTGCCAAATACGCTGCAAAACATTACACATTCACGAAGCTCACAAACTCATAGGCCAAGTGCAGAGATCCACAGACAGACAAGTCGCGGTACACATGGCGAACGCCAAAGGCCAGGAGAAAACCTTGAAAGCAGCAAGAGAAAAATGACTCATCCCGTACAGAGAACCCCCCAAAAAATAGCAGGTAAACTCTCCTCAGAAACAGTGGTGATCAGAGAGCGGTGGGATAACATACCCAATGTGCTCAAAGTGAAGACTGTCAACCAAGAATCCTGTATGCAGCAAAGCTATCACTCAAAACTGAAAGGAGAAAAAAGACTTTGAAAGATAAACTAAAAGTAAAATAATGTATTATTCACAGACCCGTCTTTGAGAAACACTAAAGGAAGTTTTTCAGGCTAAAAGCAAATGATCTCATATTTTTCAAATCCACAGAAGGAAACAAAGAACACCTATAAAGGCAAAAATGTTAATTGTGAAAGAGAGTATAAATGTATATTTCTTATCTTTTCTTAATTTAAAAACCAATTGTATAAAACAAAACAATATGTATATAATGATTTTTTGAGCCTATAACACACAGATATGTAATACATTTGCCATTAAGAGCTCAAAGGAGGTGGATGGGAACACAGCTCAGCAGGGCTAAGGAAATGACTCTGGAGGGTAACTCGAGTCCACAGAAATAAATCAATACATCCAGAAGTGGTAAATGATGAATACTCTTGGTCTTTTCCCCAAATCTGTCTTTGCTAACTGAGATACTGACTTAACTTACTCTGTTTTTCACCCTCTCCCAAGAACCCAGGTGGTCCTTAGGCTGGCATGCTTTTGTGATGCTGGAGAAGGGACAAGAGGTGGGAGCCAAGGATCAGCAAGGGGTCTCTCTCTGCTGCATTTCCCAGGGGAGTTGAAGCCAGGAGCGTTAAGAGATGTGTGTGAGGAAAGAGGAATTAAAGAAGGCTCGTTGTGGAATCCCATCATGATATTCAATCAGTTTAAGTGAAAAAGAGAATTTATTTTGAAATTAACTTTCATTTACTGATCTGCACCTTTGACAGAAAGCTACCTGATCTATGTGATCCTTAGGAGAAAAGCGCCCACCACCACCTCTCTAGCCTTCCCCATATTTGCTTCAAGTCTTTCATTAGCGATTTTTTCATCCTGTATCTTGGACATTTTACCACTTGATGCAAATGGTACTTTTTATTTATTTTTACATCAATAATGGTAATAATCATTTTTATTACTTTATCAATAATACTAATTATTAACATTTCCTAGCCAAATAAGAGGCAGTTTGAAATAGAAGGAGTAATTGATAGATCTGTTTCAGTATAGTTTCCATCATACATATCCTGGTGTCTTTGGACTATCCATTTAAATTCTTTTTGAGTATCAAGTCTCTAACCTATTGAATGATGGGCATAACTTGGTCAGGCGTCCTGTGAATAGACTTCAGTAGGTTTAAGAACACCCAGAAATTCTATACACAATTTTCCCAAGATAACTTATAGCTTTAAAATTATACAATGGCATTAACTGAACATCACATTTTTCCAGTCAAAATTTGCTTACCTCTTGCCATGTAAAATGTGATTGTTTCTCAATTTATTCAGTGT